CCGTCTGTCGAGCGACCTCTTTTCTTATCATCTTCTTATCAGTTTAAGTGAATTAAACTGCCAGTACTTTTTCACTTTGGCAATACATACAGCGTGACCAGTGAAGTCAGATTACTGAGTGAAAGACTCTCATGAACTGGATCTTTTTAGTGAATCACAAACACTTATGAATAAGATGGAGCAGTTAATCAGACTCGCTTGCAGTCACGTGACTACAATGGATAGCTGGCAGGCAACAATCTTTTCAACAATCCTGTTAGCAATCTGTTAGGCTGTAATTGTGATGCCGGTACCGTGGTGTGGCAGATACACGGGAAGGAGGCTGGATCCAAACGCAGTGTACAGGCTTTATTTAGACAAACTACATACGTAGACAAAGACTCAGATACATGACTCAAAAGCACGAGCGATTACCGCCGACAACACACGTACAACAACTCACAAACTAAGGCAGAAACACAGGGCTTAAATAATCAGACAAGCAAACTTAACAAGGTAACAAGGGGGCGTGGACAATAGGAAACACCTGGAAAACTCAATAGACAGGGAACCACTAATAATACAAAGACAAAGATACAAAACCACATCATGACAGTAATGTTGTATAGTAATAAGTATACTAAACAGTCTCAACTAGTCAAATCACGAACGATGTGCTAAGTGAGCTGAACTGTATGATTTTCCAAGATGGCTCCTGCCTGTATACACGAATTGGTCTGTCTTTATAAAATATCTTCTTATTAAACTGTCTGTTAGTTTTCAATGCTTTGTTTTGCATGTATGGACCCTCATTATGTTACTGTGTTAGTGTGGGGCTATTTTAATCCTTGTTAGAGGTATTAACTAGCGATTTCTTTTTACTTATCTAGCATTATACGTTAAACTGTTTTTAGAGATAAAACTCTTTACATTCGATTATCATGAAAACAAATCTCAGAGAACGGTTGACAAGGTACCAATGTTTTATTAGACCAAAGGTTCATTTTGCGCCGGAGTTCTCCTTTAAGCAACTAAATATTTAAACAGGAAGAGGAATTGTAATAATTAAACTTACGATTCTTACCCCAAGTGACAACACTGGTGTCTTTCACCCGGAGTATTTGATGGCCTTGCTGTCGTCTTCAGTCACAGCCTGTCTTGCATTAAATTCGCGGCCCACTTTTTCATTGTCCCAATCTGCATGCAGCAGAGGGAGGAAAAGCGATTTGGACGCGGAGCTAAACACATTCACACACCTTCTGTCATCCTTCTGTTCCTCTCATGGGGTGTCGTTCTCCGTGCCTTGTTACCCGGCTGTGTGCAGAGCCAGGGACGGGAGCACTCATGTGATGTCATAGACACGGGGGAAAGAGATGATGGGACACAGAAGCGTGACATTGAAGATGTAGAGCTAGTTACCTCCTGCTGTGTTCCACAGCCAGTTAACAGTCAAGTGCCTCGCGTAGGGCCAAGGCTTTCTGTAAAAGCTTCACCTGAGACCAGAATTCATGCAAGCACATTGCGGATGTACAGAGAAGGCTTCCAGACACCGCTTTTGCTCTGATATTTGCCCCGATTTACAGTCTGAAGGAGTTGGTAGTTGCCGAAATTAAAAAGGCAGTCTGCGGATTTTGCGCAGTCAGAGCGAATTACCGAACTTTGGTTTTATAGCTTCAGGATATGACTCCATTTAGTCAGAGGATGTCAAATATGATTGATATTTTTAGGTGATTTTAAAACACATTCTTTTCATTTGTCACAGTTGTAAAGATGAAGGCTTTTGAGGGGGGTTGGCATCACAATGGTTTTGTTTCCAGACATACTGTTAAAGAACGCGACTCAAACATCTCCCGGAAATTCTGGAGAATTCAACCAATCAGACGGAAACTTCAAAACTTCTGAATGCATGTATGCATCAGACGTTATGCCAATGGTCTGTGGGTGTGACAGGGTGTAACAGAAACACAGCACATTGTTAAAAAAAAAAACATTGTTTTAGCGTTTGTTGGGTAAAATGTGAAATGGTGAGCGAAACACTACAACTAGACTGAACAAGAGACCGTTTCATTCACATATTCTTTTCATTTCCCAGATAGCAAACTGACATTGAATCAACGTGGAAATATGACATCGAAACAATGTTGATCTGACATTGTTTTGCTCATCGAATTAACGTTGAACCAACGTCAGATGCGTCATTCTTTCAAAACTAACGGAAAATCAACTTAAAATCAACGCGTTGTTTCAACGTTATGAAAGCAAACCAATTTTCGATTTCATTTAGCTTTGAAGAATGCCGCGTCTGACGTTGGTTCAACGTTAATTCGATGAGCAAATCAACGTTGTTTCAATGTCATGAGAGACGTCGTTTCCACGTTGATTCAATGTCAGTTTGCTGTCTGGGTTGTCATGCATAGCAGCGTTTCTAGAGGAGTTGGTTGTGTTCAGTAGGGCTGGGGTAAACGATTATTAACTAAACGATTAGTTGGGCGATTATTTTATCGATTAGTCGACTAATCTAATGACTAATTGGACGACTAATACAAAGAATATTTTTTCTGCTGCTCAATTAATAAAAAAAAACAATATCTCAAATAAATACTAGCATACTGAATCAAGATACTATAAGCTGGCTAACGTTAGTCTAATGTTATGTATTTGAAAACCATCATTATAACTCTACAACCGCCAAAACCGTGTTATTAAAATATTTTTTACAAACATTTTTTATCATAGAGAATGTTTAAATATTAATATCAGCTGAGGAGGGAAACGGAGGCGGAGTTAGTGGTGCGATCGGAGGCTGCTACTACTGGATATGAATCGGGAGAGGTTTCTGCACCTACTGATCAGAGCGCGTACTGACACGGAGTAAACCTTGTCTATACTCGACACGAATGTGCGCACGGCAAAAATGACGCGTTGGGTGCGCAAGACCAGGAAGACTGTGGCTGGCTGTGTGTTTTGTAACAGCGCGCGCGGCGCCGCGTCCGGGAACGACTTCAAGCCGAATCTGCCTGAGCTTGTACGTCTCACCACACCGGCACCCAGTTTGCGCATCTAAATTGCAATTTTTTTTCTTAAGGGTTTGTTTACTGTGTGTGATTCATTTAATGGATACACATTCACTTCTAGTTGTCTTCGTCCTCTATTCTGCAATGTTTCGGTCTCCCACGTGAGTGTGGCAAGCTGTACCGCCGGGAACATGCAAAAAATAAATAAATAAAGAAGCGTCGACGCAAAAATATGACGTCGACGCAATTTTGACGTCGAATCATCGCCGCTACAGCACTAGTGTTCAGTAAGGTTCCTATTTTAACCATCTAAGCACATGGTCTAGAGTGTATGGCACAAATGCACTTAGATCATGTCCAAAACCACTTTTGCTATTTTAACAACAGGAAAAATCGTCGGCGAGCCCGGCGCATGGTCTAAAAAGGTTGTCCCTATTCTCTTAATGAGTGTTTTGGGCATAACGTGCAATGAACCAATCAGCGTCTCATCTCCCATTCCCTTTAAAAGCCAGTTGTGCTCGCGCCATGGCGGATTGCTATTTACATGGCGGAATTTGCAAGCGGAAAGACATGAAAATGATAAGTGTGTCAGGCTGAAACTAGCAAAAAACACTTGCGTCGCACCGGCTGTTGCGTCGCACCGGCTGTGGGCCCTAAGACTTGAAATTCGGGTTGTATGTGATGCTCAGTCATTTAGCATATGATAGGGTGACCAACTGTCCTGTTTTCCCAGGACATGTCCTGTTTTCATATAACAATATAACCATTTTCTATCCATACAGAGGAGGCATAACCTACTTTAAATGTATTGAAATTAATAAGGTATCTTTGAGTAAACTTCGAGAATCATTTGAGTTGGCCCATGTGTTTGCTGGGCCGAGTGTCCTGGTTTTTGGTAATCAAATATGATCACCCTAGCATATGATGCCTAGTGTGCCTATAGTGTATTCAAATCTGTTCAGATTTTAAAAGTAGTGTTTCTAGCCCTAGCAGTTGTATGTATTACACAAAAAATGATTCAAATTAATTTGAATGTTATGTTTTTGTGGCCTTCAATTTTGGTTATCTTGCCAAAGATTTCAGTTGTGGTCTTCTAAAATGCCTAAGTGATGGATTTGTGCTTACCATATATAAATTCATGAGATATCATTAACAGTAGCATGGAATGTGGGTTGATGAGTTTCCTCATTTGTCAAAAGCATGTACAAATACAGATTTCCTTGAATGGTTCAGT